CACAGGCTCCCCAATGGCCATGAGTGGTTGGCCAGTGGTTGGCTGCCTCCCTGCAGCATAGGGCATATGGCACGCCTAGTTATTGGGACGCAACCTGGGTGTCGGTGACGGGAGGCCGCATATTGTGACAGCACCACTGGCAGCAACTATGTCAGGTACCTTGGCCGCTGCGAGGGGCGGCGTCATGGAGCCAGAGCCATGACTCCCCCCGGAAGAGCCGTCGGATCAGCGCAGCCACGTCTGAAGAGAGAGAGTGTGTGTGTTGTATGTATGTATGTAGGCCTAAAGCGAACCCGCAGCTCCAAAACCGACCAAAGTCGACGACGACGAGCTGCAGGATTAGAACGGCTGTGCTTTCTTCTGGGTCTGCTCTGGAAAAGGCAAATCCACTCTTGCGAGGAAGGACCTTAGGGTTATTGGAGACCGTAGACAATATGTAAAGAAGAAGAAGAAGAAGAGAAGAGGGCGTCGCCAACAAATTTCATCCACCTGGTTGAGCGTCTTGGCACGCTAGGCGGCTGCTGTACGTAAACAGCTAGCTCATTGCCTCCCTTCAGCCCTCCCTCCCTCCCTCCCCACACCACCATCAAGAGACTGGTTGCTGGTGCAACATCGGTACAGCATACCATCGCCGTCTCAGACCCTTACAGCATAGTCGTCGTATCCTATAGAACAAACAGGACAGCTGGCTCTCCCTACTGCAGGTCCAACTTCTCCAACACCCATTTCCTCAACCATGGTTCCCCATCACATACGCAACCAATCCTCGAATATCAACCGTAGTTCGCAGTCTATCCGTATATATAGGTGATTTTTATATTGTGCTTCTGATTCCACTCCCCCTTTTACATTTATACGAGGTTGCCTTCCATGACCCCTTCAGTATCGAAGAAAGAACATCACATGAAGCCATATAGACCAAAGTGACCTCGTCCATCGTCTACCAATGGCGCAATCTAGCAGCGCTCTTGTGAGCCTTCTGAGGTCTTGCCTGCCCACCACAACAAACAGAGAGATGAGCTCCGAGGATGATGTTACAACCGACTCACATTTTTCAGACTCAGACTCTGACTCTGACTCCGACTCCGACTCCGATTCCGACTCCGACGATGATGATGACGACGAAGACTGCTTCTACATTAACGCAATCTTCCCTGTACCGAGCCCCTACATATTGCCATGGGACTGTTCTAAATCGCTTCTTTGGTCGACTTCTCTGATCGAGCATGGCGAGTTCACAGCCGCCGACGCCATTCTGTTAGCTTTCACCGTAGACCTAGCAATGAAGCTGTACATTGTCGACGGCATCGACTACTCCGTCCTAGAAATCCTTGACACCTCTCAACTTGTCTGGACGATTCTCAGCATAATCCATAGCTCAATATACCAACGAGTAAGCCGTTACGGATGGAGCAAAGGCGAGGTTATACAATCCGTAGAAAGCTTTTACCTCGCCGCAGCCAGTGGTCTTCACCGAATTCGCGAGCGCTTTGACATTGCTTTTCTGCAATACATTCAGGATCCAAACACCAAATCGTTGTTTGCAAGAAAACTCCTTTTCAGTGATAGTTTTGCACCCAATAGCGAGAAAATTGCTAAAGTCTACCGCTGGGTCTATGGGGAGTCACCCGTGTTAGTCCTCTTCAACGATATGGAAGATGATAATCCTCCTTCGCGTAGGCCGATAAACATACGGCAATGGGTTTTTGAGTATAACTAATGCTTTCGGAAGGTCTTGTCTCTCATAACCGGCTTGGAAGATCATGGACAGGGAGTTTATGGGTTGGGAGTTGACTTTTTTCCCCAAGTCTACAATTACGCAACAGCAATGGTGTCGTCCTTCGCAATCATCCACCAAAACCTTTTTTTTTGCGCATTCCATAGAAAGCATAACAAGGTAGAATACGAGAATTAGACTATCAAGGCGTTCTCGTCTCTATTGGCCTTGTTACGCAATTTGCACTCACCAAAACTCATTTCACTAGCATCGCTGTAAGAATGATTTGCACACGTGATCCGTAGACCATAAAACAAGGTTGGTACATAGATATAAAAAAACCTCAATTAGAACAACTCAATCTAATACAAACCCCGAAAAAGAATCTACTACTCAGAACCTAGCCTCGACTTTTTGCTGAGTATCCTGTAGCGCCCACTCACTCCTCGCCTTCTTACTCCTCACCGAATCAACCTGCTCCTTGGTAAAGCCCTTTGCCACGGTCGCAGGGTTATATCCCAAGCCGGTAATCTTTGAAATCTCATCATCGGACTTGTCGGTCGCGGCGCTTCCATCGTGCCTCTTGTACACGGTGCATACGACTGCGCCACCGAGACCCAGGTTGTGCTGGAGCGCTACCTTGGTGTCCTTGACGGAGCGGTTGTTGGCCCATCCGCGCAGGTGCCAGACGAGCTCGGCACACTGAGCGATACCTGTGGCGCCGAGTGGGTGGCCCTTGGAGATGAGGCCACCGGAGGGGTTAATGACGACTTTGCCTCCGTAGGTTATGCCGCCCTGACGGATGAGCTCGTGGGCTTTGCCCTTTGGTGCGAGACCGAGGGCCTCGATGGTGACCATTTCGTTGGCGGAGAAGCAGTCGTGGAGTTCGCAGACTTTGACTTCATCTGGAGTGACATTGGCCTCTGCTAGTGCTTCTTTGGCAGCTAGCTCGCTCATGCTGTATCCTATGAGCTCGATAGAACTGCGGTTGAATAGCGATGGCGTGTCAGTGGCTAGTCGCTGTCCGGCGATCAAGATGGCTTGGTCCTTGAGCTCAGGTCGCTTGTCGAGGAAGTCTTGTGAGACGAGGACTGCAGCTGCGGAACCGTCGGAAGTCGGGCAGCATTGGAGCTTCGTAAGAGGTTCGTGGATCATGGGGGACTTCATGACCTGTTCGAGTGTGTATTCATCTTGGAACTGCGAGTAAGGATTGTTCTTCGAATGAGCATGGTTGATGCGACCGATCTCTGCAAAGTCCCTGAGCTCGGAACCATATCTATTGATGCCATTAGAACACGGTAATGATCATTCATTGAAACCACAAAAACTTACTTCTCCATGTGTTCCCGACCAGCGTTACCGAACAGCTGTGCTGCGCTGGGCGCTTTCGTGACACCCCTCGTCTCCTTCAACATTAGGCCCGTCGGACCTGTTGGGTTTGCTCGGTCCTGGAAGAAAGTCTGCAGACTTCCTGGAAACATCTTCTCGAAGCCTACGACAAGCACACAGTCTGCAGCTCCATGCGCAATCATGTTTCGTCCCATGTAGAGACCGGTGGAGCCAGTAGAGCAGTTGTTGTTGACATTGTATACAGGAATGCCAGTCATGCCAAACTGATAGAAGACGCGTTGGCCACATGTCGAATCGCCGTAGCAGTAGCATGCAACACCTTGATCAACATCGTCATAGTTGATGTGTGCATCGAGCATAGCTTTTACGCCAGCTTCGAAGCCAAGTTCAGGGTAATCCACCTTGCCGCGAGGCTTGATGAACTTGGTCATGCCCACGCCGAGGACGTAGACGGGCTGCTTTTCGCGAACCATGGCGACGGTGATACGTCAACAATTTGCTAAACAGAAAACTAAAGTATGAGCTTAACTGATCGCGTAGCCGTTACAGACGGGTAGAATGATGGTTGTAGAGCTGGAAAGTGGAGGCGGTGTTCAGATGTAAGTATATTTATGCTTCGCAGCAGCACGTCCGCACGCGCCGTGATAACGTACAGACAGTAGGTATTCTAAGTGTCAACCGGGCTATTTGATACAGCTACTGTATGAAAATAGTTTAGCGGAGTCGCTATATGTGGCATAGCAGCCCTTGATCGACATAAAATACGCCGCTGCGATCCTGTATCCTTACGGCGCGCGGATGCTCGTCCCCGCCTCCGCAACATGTTGCGGGTACCGAGGTTAATACTCTTTCAGGAAGGCGCCGGCGGAGAACAGCCGGCACTGATATGCGGGGGAAACTTGCAACTGACATCTGATTGTTTAGTCATTGGGAAAATGCGATGTCGTATGCGAGCGTCTTTAATATTGGTAAATAGCTCAGGGTTTATTAGCCTTTCCATAGAGAGTTGGAACAGACAGACCTGTAGAACGATCTATCATTCCCACGTGTACATACTCGGGTCATCAGCAACATTTGTCAAAGAATTTGATTCTGCGATACACACTCGTAACTTACCATAGTTTATGTACCCGAATGTACAGTCGGATGGCATGAGGTTGGTCAAAGTCCAACAACCACAAGAGACCTCATCTCGCATACAGCGATCACCCGAATGATGCACTACGTCATTAGCTATATGGTATTTGAAACTTTACTTCTACGGTTTGTCTCTAAAGGCCGATTTGAGTTTCTTGTTTCCTGTTCCGTTCTTCTCTGCTGAACGGTCACAGGTACCCGTCGCCATCGCTTTTTTTCCTACAACATGAACGTATCAAAACGAGCAACAAGGCAGAAAAAAGTTCGTTAGATTGAACATTCGCTTCAAGATCGTTTTAGTCTTGCTCTAGCAAAACATTTCATGGTGGACTGTTCTGATAACATCGGTCGAATATATCGAGAAACGTAGATTGGTACTAACTTTTTTCGGAAGTAGCTTCAAATAATGGGCGCTCACTTGTGTGCATTTTCTAGTATCAATACTAGCAACTCATTAAGGTTTTTCTTGAAGAGAGAATGCATGTGTAAAATAGAGTATCCGGGTGATATAGGAGTATAATGTACAATATGACGACTTCATTGAATGGTTTGCCTCAATTCTACCAAGGCATGGTCTATATGGCCGACGACGACGTCGAAAACGACAATAACTCTTCGCTCCTTTTCATTACAGGTGCGTGCTACACTGTTGTTTTCTTGTCTTGCATGAGCATTCGGCAGATTCCGGCTGGTAGACCTGATATGAGGGTATTTATCTGGCTCTCGCAAATGCGCACAGAGCGGAGGCCTGTTATGCTGTGTGGTTGAGCATCTCTCTTGAGCTCACTGCGCTCCCTCAGCTTATATCCTCCTCTTCTGCTTCCCGTCTCCTTTCCCGCTCCTCCTCCTGCTCCTTCAAGTGCATAGCCTCGACCAATTCTGCGCCCTCCATGCCCACTTCGTCACCAGTGTTCTCGTCTCGTGGTTGTTTCTCCCGTATCGCCTTTTGTGCCTCGACCCTTTCCCTGACCAGCTTGGCAATGGCATTATCTGTCTGCACATGCAATGGCTTCATCTTCTGGTCCAGATCTCGCTTCAAGTCCCAGTTCGGCTTCTTGGGCTGTAACTTGAATAGATCCAGCCCCTTGTCTTCTGCCTTCTCTGCTTCTTGCTGGGCCTTGGTCTCGAGTGCCAACTGTTCTGCCTTGTACTCTAGTGTGTTGGTGGGGTCGGAAATCGGCAGGTTATCGAAGCCCAGCTTAACGTTTCGTGTTTCCGGGTCGTAGTTTCTGCCAGAGAGATATGTCTTCACTACGGAGGGTTCTGCGTCATCTTCGGTACGCGTAAGGGCTTGCGAAGGCTCGGCTTGGTCCTTGGTAGTAGACGATTCGGCAGCCTCGGGCGCGTCTGATATTTGTTCTTGCTTTCTCTTGAGCGACTTGAGCTGTGCAAGGCGTGATTTGCGGTCATTGGCTGCTGCCGATAGTGTCTCGTGTGAAGACATGGTGAGAGAACTCTGGGTTTGCGCCGGAGAGGCTACAGGGCTTGCTAAATGAGGGCAGGATTTGAGGATTATGACAAAGGCTCGTGATTTGCACCCAAATATATCCCTCAAGTCTTGGTGGAAACCCGAAAGCGTGGTTGGTTGGCACAGATGTGGTTGCAGTGATAGTTGAGTTGCTTTGGTCGCGACTTTTGCGGAGAAGAGCTCAGAGGTTGGCCCTGTTTCCCGGCTAGCGCGTTGGACCACATGCGCACTTTGTCAACTTTTCCTGCAACTGCTCAGCACGACACTATATTGTCGACTCCACCACGCGTCATGGCTCGATGAAGACGGCGACATCTCCATTCTCCCATGCCCCGAGTCCGCGTCCCCAATGCTAGCTTCATCGCCAGCGCGGACCTCCCCGTTCTTCCGTTCCTTGCACCGAGGGCCTTCGCCGAGTCACTAATTCTAGGAAGTACTAGGCCACACAATCAAAGGGGCAATGCTGCACAGAAAGAGAAACAGGCCTCCTTTGGGCTGCCGAAATGCTCGCGACGGATAGATGGTATTGGCGAGGCTGGAGAGGTCCAATTGAAGTCTGACTCGACATGTGGCCAGCATCTCAGGCAAAGGAAACTTGACGCGGGGCTCCTTCAGATGCCTACTCTTTGGTGGAGAGAATCACATCATCTGAGTCCAATCAAATTTCTCCATGCCGAAATATCTACTCTTACCCGACAGCATGCACGAGCGTATGCGACCACTGCATCTCATTCAAGTCCGCCGGCCCCAACTAGTCCGCCCAAAAGCCGACACCGTCGAGCTCAGTCAGGTCGCACCTCTTCAGTTTTGGCTAAACATGCACCTCTGCGAGCTGCCAGACGGGCCAGGGCACTAGCTTTGGAAAGGGCTCGACTGCTCAATTATGTTTCCAGACTACCGTCCAATCTTTCACCTCTCCAACGGATGAAGCGTGGGCCCTATAGGTCTCTTTCTCGTCGCGTGTCCAACCTGGTCCATTGGAAATCGAGACACCTAGATCTTAGGACAGAAGCCCGTCGCTATAACAAAAGGTTCACTCTCAACCTGGCCTTCGCAGCGCTCGACCGTGCCCTCTACACCTCTCTGCGGCAACACACGCGAAGGATCGTTATAGAACACGATCCGCAGTGCGTGCAATTAAGCCGCAAAATTTTCCCACCTGACACCCCAATCGGTTCGCATATGGTATGGAAAAACTGGATCGAGTTTGATGTCAGCACAAGAAAAGCCTACGCCCATCGGCTGCTTATCTACCTGTTGGATCGCGTGCCCGGTCTCGCACTGCGATTCATACAAGTCATAGCCAATGACCCGCTTTTGCGAGGCCGAAAGACACAAGCTATTGCGGATGGGCTTGGTCATCTCTCCAAGATTCATACCAGAAAGCAGTACGGTGCTCGTCAAAAGTGGGGTACGGATCCAATGGCGCATAAACGGGTGTTTGTTCCTGCATTCGTGAACATCTTTAGTAAATCTTTGGCCTCTCAACCAGATATCTGTTCACAAGATTTGCTATATAATCTGGTTGAACTAGCCGAAATCGATGATCTCAAGAAGTTGTTTAATTGCCTGGTCCAGCACCGAACGCGCATTGGATTCGACACCATGTTGCACTACGCCAGCGCTTTCGGCGAGGCTGGTGAGGTTGAGTACGCCTTGAAATGTCTCGAGGAGCTGAGAGTGAGGTTCAATGATGTAGCATGGAAATCAGTGGTCGAAAGAGAAAGATTACGCTGGACATGCGCTACGATACTTCGCAAGAGCATGAGTACAAGCCACAATTTCCACCAAACTCCCTCCATAGTCGCTGCTTTGGTACGCTTGGGGATCAAGATGGACATTCTGCTTTACAATATAGTCATGCACAATGCTATGGGAGCTGGCGATTACACCACAGCCTTCAAGGTGTACAATACTCTAGAGAGCAACGGGCTCGAACCCAGCCCGCATACCTATTCAATCCTTCTCCATGGGTGTACACTGCAAAGTAATCCATCTATCTTCCAGGATTTTGCTACACACTGCGCGGATATAGCACAGCAGACCAAGGACTCCTGGCTAGCAACGGATTATCTGTACTACTTGTATGTACGTTACCAGGCTGATGTTGACCCTGGACAAAGGTCTGCATTACTGTGGAATGCCTACCTGAGATTCTTTCAAGTAGCGCTACTGGAGCCGTTCCTCGCATCAGGAATGATGAATCCAGGACCTGCAAGGATGGAGCAGGATGAAGCTTTGTTGGGTTCTGTAAAGCTTCCGCCTCCTTCTGTGGCTCTGTACGTGATGATGCAAGCAGAAATTCAATCAGCGGCGGTTATAAGCAACCAGCGAGTCCTCAACTTATACAACAAGTTCACATCGGTCGCCACGCAAACCAATGACCCAGCCTTTAGAAACCTGGTACAAACCCCGATTATCTGGAACGCCTTCCTCCTCGCCTTCAGCCAGAAGCAACAATTTGCAAACGCATCTCAGGTCATCAAAGACATGAGCGAGAGTGCGACAAAGCCCAATATATACAGTTGGAACATTCTGATGCAAGCCTTTTTCAAAACAGGTCAAGTGCAGGCGGCTGAGCGTGTATTCGAGATTATGCGCAACAGGGGCACTGATCCAGATCAATTCACTTACGGCGTCTTGATCCGAGGATACGCCAAGGCACAACTAGTCGAGCGAATAGGCGAGACGATGCAGCATCTCGAGACTGAGCAAGAGCTGAAGCCTGACTTGTTGCGGGCCTTGGCTGCAGTTGTCAACCGACGACAGCTCATGTTAACGCTAGAAAAGGACCGACTAGACAAGGAAGTGAAAGCACAAGAGAATGCAGCCCGAGAAGCAGAGGACAGGCGGGTTAGGTGGCAGCCGCCATTGTTTGAGACGGCAGATGTGGGTGTGGCAGGAGCAAGTGAAGAAGAGTCGGCAGGATCTGATGTGGCGATCATACCACATACTGAGGATGTGGACAACAGCTCTGAACTCCCAGACACCACTCGTCGTCAGCAGCAAAATGTCGAAGATGCGGATATTTTCGGCTTCCTCTCAGATGAACAAGTCGACCCCGCAGCTGCTCTACCGGCATCTGCTACATCGACAAGTGCCCGTCCCGCCTCTCGGCAGTCTTATCAGGAGTCACAAAGGTCCAGGGGCCAAACCAATTCCACCACTGCGGATTCCAGAGACCCAGAAATCCAATACAGAAAACTCCAAGAGCAATTGGGTCTCTTGGGCCATTCACAAGCCTCTGCTACAGGCCAGGACTCTGAACTTCAGAGTCCAGAACCATTGGGTGCAAGTATAGGCTTCAAGAGCGTGCTTGGCAAGAACAAGGCCGTAGTGGCTAGCAAGCGTAGCGTGTCAAAAGGACGTATCAGGCCTAAGATGAAGCGGGAGAGATTGGACCGGCCTTTCTCCGATAGAGGGACGCCTGGATAGCGTGGCATGTAGTTTATATATATGTATTTATCGTGACGTGTATACATTTCTTTCCAAAAAAAAAAACAGTGGAGATGGTGGCATATGGCACCGTGCACAAATCACAAATCAAAACTGAAAAAAGTCTCGCAAATGTCACTCAATGGCGACCAATGAAGCCAACCAAAACAAACGTATCAATCGTGACCCGTGTTAAACTTTCTACCCTCCAACGGACTTTCTTCCACACCTCGCCTTGCGGCTCGGCACATTAAGCCGACATCTGCAGTCCATTACTCAGAACAGCCCACTCACGCCTACGCTCTCTCTCTCTACATGCTCGCACCTCACACATACATCCCCCATCGCCCCCAAAACCCCCCTTTGGGGTGAGGAGTGAGGGGTGAGGGGGGGAAGGAAGGGCAAAATAAGCCGCAAAACCAGGGGTTGGGGTTGCGTGGGCAATGGGCGTGCATGTGGCAACCACACACACAGACACGCACAGGCACATTTGTATTGAGGCACAGAGCGGAAAAGGTAGCCGTGTGTTACGCCTATTTTCCACGGGCGTCAGCGCAAATTACTCGTTCGAGGCATGGTTGCATGACGTTACACGACGTTGGGCGGCTAGAGGGCCGTTGGCATCGGTGAAGCATAGGTACGGGAATGGGGGGTTCGGTTTTTTTTCTTGGGGGAAGGAGGGAGGGGCAGGTGTATCGTGCAGATTATGCCGGGTCTGGGCGGGTTTTGATGTGCAAGTTTATGTGTGGAAGGGGGGGCGGATGGGGTGTGGACATGCAGGGTCTAGATTGCTGAGGCGCAGATGCGCGCGCGGGTTTTCATTTGGGTTAACGAGGGAGGGGGGGTGGGTGGGGAGTAGAAGTCTAGAACGGGGTGGTACAGTACATACGCAGTATGGAGAAAAGGCTTTTGTTACTTGGATGTGTGTGTGTGTGTGTGTGTGTGTGTGTGTGTTTTCACATGCGAGATTGTGAGCTTTACGGTTGTGAACTGCAATGTTAGCCATGTATGATCGGTGGTGGTTTACTGCTGCGTGAAACGTGCGTGAGTGGCAGAGGAGAAAGCGTTGCGCAGCGCCGAATGACACGCAGCGGAATTGCGGGTAGTTTCGATAAAATGGAAAATAATGGAAAGTAAAACAAAAGAGTAAAAAAGCACGAGCAGGACGGGTAATGTAGCCGAGATGGGATTGTGCTGTATGCAATTGTGTGTTAGTATGTGCGTGCGAGGGCCTCGAGGAGTGATTTAGTGGTCGGAAACTGTATCCGCAGTTTTCACCTACAATCTACACCTGGGTAGTGTAAATTGCCCGGTTAGGAATTGGTTGTGAGAAAAAGGAGAGAAAGGATGCGAGTCAGTGGGTTGGGCAGGTGTGTGTATGGATGGAAGGATGGATGCGAAGCGTGCATGGTTGACGCCACGTCGGGTCAGACGATGAGCGGGTCGGCCAGGTATTCCGTGATTATCGGGGTTGGAAAGAGCACGACATGGGTATGCGAGGGACGAGGCGTACCGTGCCTTGGTGGGCGCCGGCTTGCAGAATGCAGACGCAGCAGGGTGAAAATGGAAGTATCGCGAGTGCACTCTGCTTGTGCATTTGTGGAATCATTGTACTCTGGGTTTTCGAGAGACAGGAACATGCGATGGTTATGGAGATTGGCCCACGCAGGTTAAACCCCGAGGTATACACCAATGTCGCGGTGTCTATGTTTCCATGAAGAGAGAATCTACAGTGTGTGAGCGGACTGCCCTGGGGCCTGATCATCTCTTGTGCGTTGTAAGTTTGTAAATGATTTGCTTTTTGTGGGGTTACGTGCATTGGTGTAGAGCAGAAGGTTTGATGGGGGTCTAAGAGATGGTGTGGTGATAAGGCTCCATCAAAGTCTACTCCATATTCGTCCTTGAACTATAAACAATCCCACATCGCGCAGTCGGAGATTGACATGGCAGGTTGAACACTTGGTGATACAGTGCATGAGCAAGTGCTGAGTTGTTACCAATGCTTCTTTTACTCGAATTGGAACAGCAGCAAACTACACAACATCAAAGGGCAACTCAGCCGGAAGTATGTCGCCATCCAGACCATGTGCGTAAGCATACGTTTCCCAAGGATATGACGTGAGTAGTGGCATTTACGGAACGTTTGAGATGAAAGATCTCTCGACGGGTGTGGGAGTGCCGTGCCGAAGTGGCAACATTTCTCACTGACATGACAACCCCGCAAAGAAGCTGCACCGAAGACGCGTAGAAGGGCCAAAAAATCGGGACTTGCTCCGCGGGGGCCTCTCTCCGCAACCCTTTATCCGATGTACCTTGCGAGGCTCAGTCTTACTATATGCAAGTGCAAGTACATGGTTCATGTATAGAGTAAGTATGTACAAAGTCTCCGCTGCAGCAACAGCACAAAAGTAAGTACATGATCCCATGGCAAGGCAAATCATGCCGAGCGTCGCCGTCTAGTGCTACCTACCCTCAATTACTCGAACCCGTCAGATCGATGTCACTTCCAACACGCTCCGCACAAACTCTGACCGTCCCCCCTAAGATGGCGTGCAAAAACCCCCCCATCTGCAAAATGACGTTTCTTCCCCCGACCTTTGACGTTTTCACGGTACAATAGTATCACCGGGGCGGAAGGGCCCAAGCCGCAAAAGGTCAAGAGGCAGAAGCTGAGAGGCTCAAAGATCGTCCCTGCCTCCGACAATGCACCGCAGCCAATTACGCAAAAGAACACGACGCGGTCATAACTTTAGCTTAACCCAGTCAAGCATCTTTCCCATGCGCAATCCGGCTTAGTGCCCGTTTTTTTTCTTCTCTCTGCTCACTCGGTCAGTTGGCAAGAGGTATGACGTCGATTGTTTCGACGCAACACACCGGAGCATGATGATCTCTTAGGGGTTTCTTGATGCCAAACTTGCATTACGCGTATGGGTTTTTTTTTTCGCGAGCTTTACGACGACTAGGAGCATGAGGAGGGGGAACGCAATGACAGTTAGACCCTTGCAGGGTATGACGGCATAGAGGAAGCATGGAGAAGCTGGGGGGGAGTTCGTCAGTACCAAGTGTAGTGTACTTACTACTATATGTAATGACGTTTCCCCCTCACCATCTTCAACGGCTCGATTATTTACTTTTGCTGTTCGCTTGAACAGTAGTCTTTCTTCGATAAAAAAAAACACACTACGCAAATGGCGATACTCGATCGGTTTAGAGGGCGCGATAGTACGTCGACTTCCGAGTCGACGGTGCTGGAGAAGGATGTCGAGGCGAAGCCGCAGATGCTCAAGGGAGGCATGAAGGAGATTTTTCGAATGCGGATTATTGCCATGGCGATTATTGTGTCTATGGGTGGTGTAAGTGCGAGTGGATGAGCAGGGTGGGTTGTGTGTATGTAAACACAAAGCTAACTTGTGGCCATGTAGTTCATCTTTGGATACGACACTGGACAAATCTCGGGTTTCCTTGAGATGCCGGATTTCCTGGAGAGATTTGCGGATAATAGGGATCCACAGACGGGAAAACGGTCGTTTAGTAATTGGAAGTCTGGGTTGATTGTTGCGTTGGTAAGTTTCGTGGCTATCCTAAGTAATCAGTGGTTCACACATGAACTAACGGCTGTCGTGTAGCTGTCCATTGGTACTTTGATGGGCGCCTTGATCGCAGCCCCGATTGCCGATAAATTCGGCCGCAAATACTCGATCGTCTTCTGGAACATTATCTTCTGCGTGGGCGTCATTGTGCAGATCACTACAACAAACGTCTGGTACCAAATTTCACTCGGACGATGGGTTGCCGGTCTTGGTGTTGGAGCACTATCTGTTCTCACGCCCATGTAAGTCATGATCATCCCGAAACCTTGGAGATCTATACTCACATAGCACTACAGGTACCAATCCGAAACCGCACCCCGCTACGTCCGTGGCGCCCTCGTGTCCTGTTACCAACTCTTCATCACCCTCGGCATCTTCACCGCCTACTGTATCAACTTTGGCACCGAAAAGCGCCGTAGCTCATACGCATGGAAGCTCCCCATGGGCATCGGCTTCATCTGGTCTGCAATCATGATCGCCGGTATTCTCTTCATGCAAGAGTCTCCCCGATGGGAGTACCGCAAGGGAAAGACGAATAGTGCAAAACACACTGTCGCCTTGACATATGGTGTTTCGGAGGACCATCCCGAAGTGCAGCGTGAGATCCAGGAGATTCAGAGGAAGTTTGAGGCGGAACAGGCGGGTGGGGGAAAGCATCCTTGGTATGAGATTTTTACCGGTCCAAGGATGGCGTACCGTGTTTTGCTCGGTGTTGCACTTCAGGCTTTGCAGCAATTGACAGGTGCAAACTAGTAAGTCTTTCTTTTCCACTCAACGCTCAAGTGGTCTTCCAATGCTGACAATTGGCCCCAGCTACTTCTACTACGGAACCACAATCTTCAACTCGGTCGGCATCCAAAACTCGTTCGTAACATCCATAATCCTCGGCGGCGTAAACTTCGGCATGACGATCCCCGGTCTCTACGTCGTCGAGCGGTTCGGCCGTCGTCCATCACTCATCGTCGGTGGCCTATGGATGTTCATGTGTTTCCTGGTCTTCGCCTCGCTTGGTCACTTTGCTCTCACAAACGCGGATGGAACGTCCAACCAAGGCATCGGCTACGCCATGATCATCTTCGCCTGTCTCTTCATCGCCGGATACGCAATGACATGGGGCCCCATCATCTGGGCTGTTGTTGGCGAAATCTATCCTTCGAGATACCGTGCTAAATGCATGGCTCTCGCCACTGCCAGCAACTGGACCTGGAATTTCCTCATCTCTTTCTGTAAGTTTCTACACATATTCCCCCGTCCCCCTTGAACTGGCTCGGCTAACAACTCTTGTCTAGTCACACCATACATCACATCGGCTATTGACTACCGCTACGGCTACGTCTTCGCCGCATGCTGTTTCACCGGCGCAGTAGTCGTCTACTTTTTCGTCTGCGAGTCCCACGGCCGCACCCTCGAGGAAATCGACACAATGTACATTCTACACGTCACACCGTGGAAGAGCAAGCATTGGGAGCCGCCCGCCAACGAGGAGCTGCCCGCGCTGGATAACACATACCTGACGCCTGGAGCGAGGGGTATCAAGAAGGGCAACGAGGCCAGGGCACCCGAGCAGTCGAGGAAGGAGAGTATACCGACTGGTGATGTGCAAGCTAGCGGTGCCAGAGGGGAGTAGTAAGAGTTGGAGTTGGAGTGAATCACGTCTGATGAGTAAACGACCTGGCACGATTAGATATATGCTTTTTTTTCCTTTCGTTCTTTTGCTACGTTCAGTAAGCAAACTGTATTACTATCACTTGGCATATTTGCATGTTACATAACGGACATGACTTGGTGCTTTTTTTGTCAAATGACAAAATGCAAATCTTCATTTGTATACGAATGCCTATGGAAACCCTGTGATGTAATTAGCATTGAGTGAAATTAGCAGGTGAAAATCTCTAGAGTCATGGAAACGAAGATGTGCAGCAGATCATTATCATTACACGACATCTCAATGACGACCACTTCTGTAAAAAAAAACAAAAAATAGGGACTTTTCTGAACAGACATGATGTATGATGATGGTTCATCCAAATGTATCAAAAAGTTTTTCCGAAAAAAAAGAGAAAAAGAATAGTTCGAAGAATCCCGAGAACAAGCTCAGGCACGATGTCCCCTTCGTGGATCGAACACGATACCTCCAGATTTAATGACCGAAGTACTTCAGTCTGGCGCTCTCCCAATTGAGCTAAGGAGACGACTTTTTGATGAAAATTTACCCTTCATTGCTGCTTATAATCCCAACATACATGAGACAGTGGGAAGTAAGCTGCCGTAAGCTATACATCCATATGCATCTGCAAGGGGGGGAGGAGAGAAAACGAAACCAGTCGTTGAATGCGGGGAAACAAGGTGTGGCGCTAACGTGACAATCTTCCCCCCCCCCCAACCATTTTCAGCTGCGGAGATTTGCAGCTAGGAGGGGGGCACAACACATAAAGTATAAATGGAAATAAAATGGAAACGAGCGGGTAAGTTTGTTGTGTGTATGTGTATATGTGACCACCGAGCTGGGTTTTGGTGAGGGACAACGAGAAAACTGGCTTTCGGTTTGGCGCGGAAGAGAACAAGCTACTGGGTCAAAGTCCTGACATCATGTGTGTTCCGTCTCCAATGAAGGGCTGACTATCTGTGTGTTTATTGGAATTGGGCCGAAAGGCACGCGCGGGCTGGGGAATTTATTAGATGAGCAAGAGCTGCTGCTGATTTCCATTGTTTGCTTGCCCGCCCCGCAATTGCTTCTTTTAAATATACGCGTTACGCGTCGTCTTTTGTTGTTTCTCTCTCTCTCTCTCTCGCACACCCCAACTTTCTTTGTCGATTCTGCATAACTTTTATCGGGCACGTGTTTTGGCATAGCTGGGCCCACATCAGAGCATGGCGATTGTGCAAGGATGGCTGCCGCCATCGCGGGAGAACTGGGAGTTGCTGTGCTGGATTTGGCAATTCTTTCCGTTGGTAAGAGGGACACGGTGGCTTGCGCTGGGGGGTTGCTTTTACGAGTACGAAGAAGAAACTTGACAGGGCTGACTAGTTTGTGCAAAACGTATAGTTTACCCTGTCGCAATGGGTGGTCGAGTGGTACCCTCAAGGCAAAACTTCGGTCGAGTCACGGCTCAATGTCAATGGAAAGATTGGATGGGCGACGATGGAGTCGGTGGGCTTCATAGCGCTGTTGTATATCATGGTAGCGCTGCCAAAGGAGCTGGGGATTGAAGAGTTGCCATGGGGTAATTGGACCATGGCCGGATGCTTTGTAAGTGTGATTTGTGAAGGGGAGAGAGAGAGAAGAGAGAGCAAGAGCTGAATGCAAACACTAGGTGATCCACTACCTCTACCGTGCAATCCTGTCGCCTCTATTTTTGAATCCGAGTATGTCACCGATGCACTTGTTTGTGTGGATGGCGGCGGTTGTATTTCAGCTGTGCAACGCCATCTCTATTGGGGGATACCTTGCGGGTTATGGGCCGACGTCGCAGTACGAGTGGGCAGGGCGTACAGAATGGATGTTTGTTGGGCTTGTTGTGTGGTGCTGGGGACTAATGGGAAATATGTTCCACGATGACGACCTGCGGGAAATTAGGAGAGCGGCGGATCGGAGGCAGCGCAAGTTGGCCAAGGAGGAGGGCAGGGCGGTGGAGAGCGTGGACAAGGTGTACATGATACCAAAGAACGGCCTGTTCAAGTACGTCTTATATGCACACTACTTATGCGAGTGGATTGAGTGGGCAGGGTGGTGGATGATTGGGGGATGGAAGTGCCATCCGGCGCGCTCGTTCCTGCTCAACGAGTTGTCTACAATGGTGCCACGAGCGCTGCAGGGCAAGCGGTGGTATGAGAAGAAGTTTGGTAAGGAGAAGCTCGAGGGTCGCAAGGCGGTGATCCCTGGGCTGTTGTGATAGGTCACGGGGTTTGTTTTGTGCACGGGAGGAAGGAGCGAGGGGCTAGGCTAGTGAGTAAGCTCGTAGGATTGGATAATAGTGAAAACAAAGGGGCAAATCAAGAGAGGCACGGCGTGACATGAATCAAATTGGGTGGGGAGAGTATGCTGATGATGGATGCTTTGTGAGCAATGGCGGGTAAAGGGCAATTGTTGTATTAGCGTCGGTGGTGGTAGTGGTGTGAGGTGATTAATCTAGTAGTTAGATGGAGTACATGAGCGTATAGAGTAGGTGGGTGTTGTTGTTGGCGGATGGCGCATTGCGGCTTCCTATTACGAGACATGGGTAGGCGGTTGGCAGCACCTGAGTCGTGGATAAAGCAGAGGTGACACGAGAGCACGAGGGCAAGCAATAGAGGCTGCTGGCTGCAAGGCGCCGAGGGAGCCATGTCCTCTGTCTGCTGAGACGGGCTTAATATAGAGTGGCCATGCAGCCAATGGGAGGCGGAGCACGGGCGGAAATGAAAAGTAAAGCTGGTGAAGAAAAAAGCGAGGGGATGATGTTATTGGAACCAGGATAGGGCCAAGGGGCCCACGGGCAATGACGATGGTTCACGTCGGATGATGGCATGGGTGGGCAAGGGTGGCATGGTGGTGTTTGGGTAGGGTAGTTGTCTGCGATGTAACTGCTGCATACACACGTTGTACACCAGCGTCGACTTGGCTGTGGTGGTAGTGGGCGAGGTGAGTGAGATGGATACGTATCCAGAGAGAGGCAAGACCAGGATGACTGCTGCACCCTCACGTCTCTCTCGGACGCACTCAGCCACGGACGTGCCGTATCAGTGATTAGCCCAGCGCCACCGTGTTTAGCAGCTTCCCTCTTCGGGGCTACTGCTGGCTGCTAGTCAGCAAATCCATCCCATCTGTCTCCGTCTTTCCGTCTGGAGCTCCCGCACCACCAGTCAGCCCCTCTTGGCACCCATTTTGTGCCGCCTTACTGTGTACACACACACATGTTGCATACAGACATGACATAGTCTGCTACACCCATAACTCGCCCGCCCTGCGCATAGCACACTGCTCACCTACCAGCTTTCCTCGCTCTCCCCCTGTTGTGTTTTGCGTCTGCGGCTGCGGCTGCATCGAGCACAGCCAGCAACAACAACAACCCCTGCGATACGCCGTTGTGGGCCAGGCCGTCTGTCAGCGTCAGCGCCAGGCCAGTCGCAGCGGGCGTGCTGTGGCCATTGTTGTTGGGGTGGTTCGCTTCGGCAGTGCAATCAATAACCGCACCACGGCCGTCTGGCTGGGATCGCCCATCCTGCTCCCGCGCAGGGTCCACTTCGTCTCCTGCACAACTGCTGCCCGTCGCCCACTCACCAGTCCACGCCGCGTCCTTGATACATCATCAACCCGGACCCACGGGCGGAGTCCAAGCAGATCGCCGCCGTCTCGTCGCTGCTGCGAAGCTGTCCACCCGTCGTCCCACGGCATTGCTGCCACCGCGCGACACACTAACTCCCTCACCGTCGCCCTCGCAAACCTAGTTTCTGTCGCGGCTCTGACTGATACCCACAAGTCTGCCTTCCACCGCCCAACCATCCTCGACAGCCTTTCCTCGGCGCGCCCTCAACCCTCGCCCCATCCGCTGCTTGCCTGCCTGCTTGCCTCAGTCGCTCCTTTGCCAGTCTAAGTGTTGCGTGTGCCCTACCTCTCTGGCTGCGCAACCCTTTTTTCTGCAATCATGTCGAGCAATGCGCCTGCCAGTACGTTGTCTCCCTCTTTTGTCGCGTCCAGCCCGCCTGCTGTCGCTCCTTCCTCTGCCTCTGCTGCTCCTCCTCCTCCTCCCTCCTCTGCTCTTTCCTCCCAGCCTCGTCCGCCGTCTGTAACACCCTCCGCAGCAACACCGCAGCCTTCATCAGCCCCTCCGGCTGCGGCTTCAAGTCCGGCTTCAAGTCCTCCACCGGCTTCTAACTCACCTTCAGCCTCGGAACCTACTCCAAACCCTCCCCCATCCACACCTACCCCAGCGCCCTCGCCCTCGAGCCCACCGGCTCCTCCGCCATCATCGGAGACTCCTGCTCCTCCCTCAACTTCCTCAGCTCCCCCATCACCACCCCCTAGCTCCGCCCCTGCTCCTGCTCCTGCCCCATCCAGCGCACCGCCGCCAGCCCAGTCGTCTGCACCACCCGCACCACCCCCATCCTCCAACAACAATGCACCTCCAACCAGCACCGTCACCGCTCCACCGGCGCCTACTTCGACAGACGTCTTCACCTCGGTCGTAGTCATCACGTCGGCCACGGCTCCAGGCCAGCCTCCACAGGTCATTACCATCACGTCTACCATCAGCTCGCCAGCCAACACCGCTGCACCCCCCAACGGAGCATCCTCCAGCGGCGCCAGCGCCAAACCAACCACCACTGGCACCACTGGCCTGCAGGACGCACAGAAGGAAGACAGCGGCGGTCTTTCCACCAGCGGCAAGACTGCCATTGCTGTTGTCATTCCCATTGTCATTGTTGCCCTACTGGTACTCGGAGGCATCTTCTTCTGGCGGAAGCGCAAGCAGCGCAAGAGCGCAGAGGACGAGCGCAGGAAAGAGGTGGAAGAATATGGCTTCAACCCTAACCACGACCCAACCCTACCTGCCGTCGGTGGTCTCGCCATGGCTGAGGATGAAAGTGGCTACCGAGGATGGGGCAACACCACCACCAGCTCTAACCGCAAAATGTCCACCACCATGACATCTGGCATGACCTACTCGGATAGCAACAGCAACCCCGGCGGATATGCTGCACCTCACTCGCCAACCGGAGTCTACTCTGACGCTCAATCCAACGACCCCTTGATGGACGGACGCCGTCAAACAATGGATTCGGATGGTATTGGCGCGCTTGGTGCTGCCGCCGGCGCTACAGCTGCAAACTCAGCCAACAACCAGAGTGGTGTACAACGCGGCCCATCCAATGCTTCTTCATCATACTCAGCTGCCGATCATTCAGACCACTCGGGCGATTATCCTGGCATGGCTGGCAATCAACAGCATGATTACTACGGCAACCAGGACTACTACCAGCAGGGCCCATACGGTTCCAACGATCCCTATGGCGGCCAACAGCAACAGCCCATCATAAGAGATGTATCCGCACGGCGAAACACAAGAATCGAGAACCCAAGTGTGTTCCCCCATCAAGGGAACTCTGGTATCGCTCAAAACTTTTAATAACTTGACTGTACCTTATCCACTCATTGCTACACTTGTATATTGCGACAATTTTCCTTCCATCGACTTGTCTATATTAGTCGGTATATATCCACACATTGGCGTTCTTCAGGCAGGGTTATTTCTTTTTTGGTCGATCCGCTTTCACATCATACCTCGGTCTTTCTTTCCACCGCCCTCAGTAGTGCTGTATGCACGCGCAGGGCACTGAGTTGGGCGTCGACGTAGTCGTCTGCTGGGAGGAGCAGGCTTATACCAAACTAGCACGATGAGATGGCATGAACCCGGTTGAACCTGCACCTTAAGGCTGCAGGACCGAGGAAGAGTATCGAGCGAGACGGGCTTACACATGTGTTCGGCGGAAACAAAAGCAAGAAGCGTTTGCAAACTTGTCACTGCGGTGTGCCATCGCATTGCGGAGAATCGCACTTTTCTTTTCTTTCTCTTTTTTCAACTCAGGAACTTTGGGTTCCTGGACCTTCTCGTGGTACTCCACCATTTCTTTTTGGTAATCTTGAAGAGAGGGGGTTTCGACGGCTTTATGCGGACAATACAGGCTCTTGTAATAATCACGCTTCTCTCACTCTTACCCACGAGTCCTTCATTATTCTTACCTTGATTTGTTTATACGTACATGCCTTGTACAAGGCTCAGAACCTTTTTTTCCTTGTTTTTTGTTTGATCGTCTAACTAGATGGTGGAATATAGGCGATTATAGTCTGAGGAAGCGAACAACATGTGGCGGTCATGTTGGTTCGTGTAGCAAGGAGCGCAATCACAACATGAAAATAAACAAATTAAACAAATTGCAACAGTACGTAATCATGTATTTAGATTCCTTTTTTGTTGTAGCTGAGATATAAAAGTTTAGGTGTTTATAAATGCAGTCATTTGTTTAATCTGTTGTCTTGAAGGTATCTTGATTCGACTCGACTCGACTCTAGGTAACACAAACAGCAAGATGATTAATCACTACATACCTCCATGACACCAGAGTCGAAGCCAATTTCCCTCTCTCCGCACCCTCTCAACCACCTTCTAAATCCTCAACAGACTTGCCACACACAACCCTTAGTACACCTTTCCCGTCATCTTTCATCTCCCACACACATGCACATGCATTCTGCCTTGCCCCCCTATTTCGGTCACACCCTCAGCCCTATCAGCCCATCCACCCCCAAGCTAACAACGCAAACTAAACTAGTCCACCCACGCGAAATCTCAACCAAACTAAACATATGCATGGTAACCCGGACCCAAGACCCCAAACTAACGCATGCAATGCACAAGAGTTTGGTCCAGACGGGCAGGACACGCGCGCCATTTAAGACAGCAACGCCCCACCACTCATTAACGTCTTCTTCTTCTTGTTTTCTTTTCTTTTTTTTTAGACTACTACTAAGTGGGATAGGTGGGATCGGGGGTTGACGTGCGTATAGTAGCGCTTTTTTAGTATGCGTTTTCGTCATGTTACTGTATCATCGTCTTTTTTGTTGGTTTATTTCCGTACGTACGTTTTGCGAAGAGAAAGACACAAAGAGGGGAAGAGAGCAAGATGCGAGATATCCTTGTTACCCAACTATCCTACCCTCCTTTTCCCCCACAAGTCCCCAACGGTTGAGAAATAAGTGTAGTATCTCACACGACCATATACTAGTCCCCCCACCCCCCTCTTTGTCCTTTTCTTTTTTCTTTCCTTTCCCCCGAATAACCGAATCTTCCTCACAACACACGCTCGATCGGTCGGTTTCAATCGGTTCCCATCTTCCTATCCAATCCTTAGCATTTCGTCTTTCCTGATCCCCCTCCCTCTAAATCAACCCCCCTCGATCTCTCCAATACCCTACTAAACCTCTAACCCCGCACCCAAGACCACTAACAACCACTCTCTTCCTCCTCCTCCTCCACCACCACTAGAAACCAAACTTCCGTATTCCCGTGTGAAATGCTTGTAGCGCTTCGCTTATTTTACCCCCTCCCTTCTCTTCATCCCTGCCACCACAAACTGTAGTAGTATCAGCCGCACTACTAGTATTCCAACACAGCCCCCCTCGACAAAAACGCCTCAAAACGAGCTTACTTGCACCATTTTTTCCAGCCCTTCAGAATGTAAGCCCCGGTGTATGTTGGGACGGGGCGGGGGAGCACGCGATAGTAAGTGGCGGAAGGGAGAGGCGAGTACGCGGTTAGTTTTTTTTTTGGTTCGTGGGACGGGGGGATGCGTGTGGGTGGGGTGCTGAGCAAGTAGTTTACTATGTCGTAGCTTCTTTCACTTTTGATGTAGTTTGTTAGTTATATATATATGTATATGTGTGTACGTGTGATTTTCGTTAGAGATGGAAGAGGGAGACGTACTCAGGGCCTGGCCTGTGGAGGTATATGACTGGCATGGATAGGAGTAGTACCTACCCGCCGAAACTCCCCCAGTCAGTGACTACCAGTGTCCAACAAGAGGAGTAGTGACGATATCTCTACCTCTGCTGATTGATCCACGATCACCGCTCTGGTAAGGTACTGGGGTAACTGCCTTCAGTTCTAATTCAGGCACGTTTAGCAAACATAGTTCGCCTACTTCCTCATCATCCAATGCATCACCCCAAAACGAACATCACAAATCCTCCTAAACTCATCTTACAGCATTATACAACCATGTATTTCAATTTTGTTAAACTACACTAATTACCCCCGACGCCGCACTGACCCCCAAAAAAGACTGCTTTTACCCGCACTCGCACAGTCCAAACACAAGAACCGAAATTTCATTTATTAAAAAACAACGCCCATGATCCTCGAAATGCACCCGCAGATCAGAACGACAAAAAGCCGTCACACAAAACGCCTCATACCCCCCCTTTTGCCCAACCTTGCCGTAACCCATTGTTCGAGGGAAAGATGCAAAAGTCAGCTTAGTAGCACCGTCGCAATGCTAATGGTCATGTCATGAAGCGTCAATTAGGGGTGTTGTGGTTATTGTTGAAAGAAGCCTACCCTCATCGAGCGGGCATATTGGGAGCGTTGTTAGGCATTCCAGACGACGGCACTCGCGTCATAGAAGGTAGGGCAAATGGCGGTGCTGGTGCGGGTGCAGGGGGCTTCGGAGGTAAGTGTGCGGGCGTGCCATACTTGGCGATGCTGCTCTGTGAGCCCGGATCGCCAGATTGCGATGCAATTCGATTCATGGTCGGAGCAGAGGCATTGCCCTGCATGCTTTGAGGTGATCCAAATGATGGCGTGGAAGTGGCAGATGGACTGTGCCTAGGCATCTGGGCAGGCATAGAGGTCTGAGCAGACATTTGATACCCACCATAGCCATTCATCTGTGGCTGTGGCTGCATCATGTTGGGCTGCATGCCAAAAGGCATGTTGCGTCCCCCGGGAACAAATGCTTGAGTCTGTGGATTGAACTGTCCACGGTTGTAGCTTCCCGGGATAGGATGCTGATTACGGTTCAGCTTGCCATTGTATGCATTGAGAGGAAACTGGCCATATGGATAGCCTTGCATAGAAGCTTGATGAGGCGCAGACATTGGACGATTGCCTGGTCCATTTGGAGCCCCGTAGTTGTTCTGCGTCATCGGATATGACGGCTGCTGATTGTTTTGCGGCCATCCCGGATTCATAGGCATATGTTGAGGCTGCTGATAATTGTCTTGGTAGGACGCCATCTGTGGGTTAGCCATCTTTGGCGTCACTTGGGACGGTACGCCGGCGTTCTGAAACGAAGACATGCCCCGCTGAAAGTCTGCCGACAAGTCGTATCCATTCTGTCCTTGTCCGTAACCAGGATACATCATCATCGATCCATTCGAGGGCTGATACTGCTGTCCGTTCCATCCATATTGCTGCTGTGCTTCCGGGTTCATCATGCCAGGGTACGGGTTACTGTATGTTGTTGAAGGCGAGGCCCCAGGGTTCATAGCCGCAAATGGAGCGTTCTGTGTAGGCCCTGGGAAGCCGTTGTAATAGACGGCATTGTCCCCGGCGTAGGCAGCAACAGGATACTGCTGTGGATAGTACACGTTGAATCGGGATCGAGCCTGAAAGTCATCATCGTCATAGTTGCGCTGTTTTTTGGGCTTCTTCTTTCCTGCAACAGAGCTTGACCTCGACATATCCTTTCCCTTTTCTTTATCTTCTCCTGATCCGTTGGCCTCGGTAGCATCGGTTTCTTCGCTTTCAGCACTTCCAAAGATGCGTTGGCGAGCTTCACGATACCGCGCCTCACGCTCTTCTCGAGAAAGCGCAGTCTTGTCCTTGTTGGCTTCGCCATCGTTGCTACCCTCACTACCACCCATCTCAGATGTCGTTTTGGACGCGTTCTGCGAGTTAGCTCCAGTGTTTGTTCCAGATTTACCGTCGTCGCGTCGCATAATCTTGCGAGCAGGAAGCTCTACAGGAGGAGTATTGGTTCCCTTTGCAGGATCAACCATTTGCGACACAGGCGGTGGGCTGTGACTGGTTAGCGTAGTGTCCACCTAGCCATACAAGTAACACGTACATTCTACAATATGGTGTGCGCGTGATTTTTACACCCGTCATAGTGGTATCAACCACGTGGCCAAGTAGATAGTAGTCCGCAAGACGATGGGCCAGCATCCTGTAGAAAGTGTTACAATTAGGCAGACACAACTCGTTTTCACTGGAAGTCTGTTAGTTTACAATACACCGTAGCACACTGACAACATAAGCTTACCGAGAGTCCTTGATAAAATCGATAAAGTCCTGTTCAATCTTAACGACAAACAAACGATCGCGTGGAGAGCGTAGGGCCTCGAGTAGCTTCTCGTCTGGTATGGCAGGCATGTTGGGTGCGCCATTGTGTGCAGATATACCATTCACCAGAGGCTGAGACATGGGTCCCGCGCCGTTCACCGACTGATTTGGATCGTACAAAGTCTGGGGTCCGATAGGCATAGTTGGAAATCTTCCTGGAGGAACTCCTCGGTGGGGCTGGGGGTTCATCACAGCTATCTCTTGAAGCTGATCCCTGAAGGCGCGCGCAGCACCATGATCAGATCCCTGTCGGGAGTCTGCAATAATTGAATCTGGAGGAGATATGATGTCTTCCTCCTCAACCGCCCTTAGACTAGCACTGTCATCCGGTCGTAGCGACTCCTTCTCATCCAATGCGAACGTCGTCGCAGAAGCCACGCTCTTTCCATCGATACTGGGGGGTTTTCCTGATCCATCAGAAGAAGAGAGCTGAGTGTTGCTGTCTTCTGTAGCCGATACCTTGGCAACCGCGGCAGACTGAGGTCTTTCGGCAGCTTCTGCTTTGGCATCTGCAGGTGGTACCGGTGAAGATTCTGCTCTGTCAATTGGTGGTGCACGCTGCGAAGTGACATTTTCAGCACTTTTGTTTGCATTGTTGTTTTCTTGCTTCTCCATGGCCGCCTTTGGAGCATCGCCGTTTGCAGGAATAGCGCGCGTCTTCTGAGCAATGGCAGGTACTCGAGGCGTCGCAACAGGTGGTCTCGCTTTTGGGGCAGAATCTTTCGACATCTGTGGCTTTATTGCGGAAGCCGCAACCTGACGGTGTTAACAAACAAACACTGTATTTTTTTCGGTAACCGACAACGTACCTTGGCGAAGGAGAGCGGCCTAGGAGGAGCCTGCTCG